TGCTGCACGCGCCTTTCCGTCACCCAAGCCTGTAGCATAGGTAAGATACAACCCCTTTATTCTTTTTTCCACCTATATTCGACCTATATTCGACCTATATTCGATCTATCGATTTGGACCTTTCATTTTGTCGATATAAATAATTAAATAAATTGTCAATAGCGACATGTAGTATACTTTTTCATCCGAGACAAAGTTTCCGTCGGCCGCGGTCAAATAAACAACGTGTCTTTGTATAAATCCTTTCAAAAATAGATAGACACATTTTATCAACAACTATTACGACCAACATTTATTACCAACAATTACAACAAATGAATATAAATATCGAAAATTTTTTAATCTCGGAGTAAACAACAACACAACACAACAACAACAACAACGCAACAACGAAAGGGGTTGGCATGATTTAAAGGTGCAATGACAGGTTGCATAGGAACAAAAATATGCTATACTTAATGTTGTCGCCATTTGTTTTCTTTTTGTAGAGGAAGAGAAAGAGAAAAAAATGGCGATCGTCGATTGGAGAAAATCAGATTAACGAATTCGTTTTGTGGCAGGAAGCGAGTTCGAGTCGTGTACCTAATCCTAATTCTAATCTGATTTAGATGATTCCACTCCCTTGTAATATTTCTTTTTCTCATCCCTTCCCTATCAATATCCCTCTATATTCCTATATATTGAAGAGGATAGGGATTTTTTGTTCTTTTTTTCTAGGGACGGACGTGCGAGTTCTTTTATATCGACTTTTGTTTCTTTTATCTCGTCTCCTCGACGCGTTTTAAACATTTACAATTAGACTTTTATCGATGTTGGTCGTAATGGTTAAGTTAATGACTGCGAGTTATTATGTTTAGAAGGGATTATTTAACGTGGCAATTTGATTGCCTTTTTATAGCTTTTTATAGCTTTTTATAGCTTTCCATTTGTTGTTATTTTTCCAAGTAGAATTTTCTTCATCAAATAGATCCGAATACTTTGATATTATTTGTCATAACTCGGTAAAAAGTTGCTGCTATTGGGAGAAAGAAACGCTTAAAGAATCTTTCAAGTGTCCTTGCTGCTTCTTTTCCCTCATTTTGCCCGTTCCAATTGAGACCCCTCTCACGAGGGATGAGATGCGCAAGGTCAGATCTTAAGGGTGGGAGGAGGGTTGCTAGGTTGACAAACCTTTCCAGGGGAGAGGGACTCCGCCCATTGGTGGAAACCACGAAAAAAGGACAGACAGAGAAATCGAGAGAGAAAGAGAAAAGCCACCGGAGGGTTTAGCGATGGCGATCAAAGCAAAACGGGAAAAGAGGGAAAACGTAAAAGGCCAATCTCCTACCTCCAATGTTAATTAACAATGAATAGTAATTATTGCTTCTCCAAAATCAAGCTCAAATTTTACATTTTACATTTCTAAATTTACCAACAATTGCTATTACAAATCAACACATTTGTCGATTTATTTTCTTATTTTGTAACACGTGACTACAAAGACACATGCTTTTTATGCTCGTGATTAGATTAGAATCATGGTAATTATAGCGTTACGACCAAGCGTTTACTCTTTTCGAATAATTTCTTTTTTCCGGTGTTGCTAACTTTAAGCGATTAACGCGATTAACTCATATATTTTTCTTCCTTCTTTTCCTTTTTCTTTTCTTATTATATCATACCGTCTCTCTATCATACACATCTAATTAATCTAATTCTAACATCTAACTCTACAAAGTCTATAAAGGAAATTAATAATTAATAAACAAGCTACGATGTCAATGGTCACGATTATAAGTGATTTATTCTTATTCTTTATTTTTCTATTACAAAAGTCCATGTAATTCTAATCATTTCATGATATAACTAATACATTTCATTGACATTCACACATCAATGTAGTTAATTTTTTGTACGATAGATCAACAGGTGTTATGTTTTATTTATTTCATTACTAAACAAACATAGATTGAATATTTTGCACATGGTATTTTTGTATTTTGTAGAACGAGAGAAGAAAGAGTATTATTATTATCAACATTGAAAAGGAGAGCTGACATTTCTCCTATCATAAATATAATCGACTATAATGTATGATAAAGTTTACATATAGATCTATCTCGCTTTGGCATATAATCCGAACGAACGGAATTAATGTTTGAAACTAATCGATAATTCCTCGTGCTAAATACATAGATAAAATGCATTCATTATATAGAAATCGAACCAACCGTCCGTTTGAAAGGGTTATTTGTTTGTCGCCGTTCATTCACTTTAAATGCGAAAGGATATACCTACCTATATGTAGAAATATCCTTTGATATTCGTACAATTTGTTTTTCCTCGAATATTTATTCGATTAAACAAATAAAGGATTTTGAAAATAGTCGGGTCGCGATTCCCTCCAACCGAATTCAAATCTTTGCCTACAATTGGAATTTATTAACGCAACGCGTCTTCTTTTCTTTTGAGTAGCAGGAAGACGAGGTTTGGCGATGCTCCTGTCATGTGCAGGATGCGAGAAACCGATACTGGATCAGTACATGCTCAACGTTTTGGATCGAGTATGGCATGCCCAGTGTGTTCGCTGTTTCGATTGTGGATCCGCGTTACAGGACAAGTGTTACTCCAGGGAAGCAAAACTATTCTGCAGGGAAGACTTTTTCAAGTAAGTTTTATTTATCTAAGTCTACTAGTAATATCCTTTTTATTGTATTATTTACGCGTCCAGCTAAAGACTAAGAAGAAAGAAAGACTCTCTAGGTTGTGTTTCTTTTGTGTTTTGTCTCTTCCACGCCTCTCACCTTTTTGCCGATCCTGGCACGAACCGCAAGGAACGATCGGTATTCGTGGCTCCCTTTTTATGTTCCCGAGACCAACGCTGTTCGTGGCAGTAGCAGCAGCAGCAGTTTGCATCGAGAAAAAGGTCTTTCGTGATGGAACAAACAGGAAGGAATCCTTGACATTTTCTCACATCGCAGGCGCCATTTCGCTCGACTTTGCAACCAACTATTTTACCTTTATCTTTGGGATAAGCTTCTTCGATTTACATATGTACTTGATTACGGACGATACGCCGAGCCGTCGGGTCTTGCCAATGACTTGTTACGAAACTCGTAATACTTAAATAAAGACAAGAAAAATACGATAGATCAATAACGCGATCCTAAGGAAAAAGAAATCCACCGAGAGCGAGCAAAGAAGAAGAATCCTCGAAGCGGAGAGAGAGGCCTTGACATTTGCCGAAGAAATTGGTTTAAAGCGTGAACACAAGAATCGGTGCAACTCCTTGGCCAGCATCCGACAACACTTTTTTGTGGGAAACAACGAAAGAGTTCGCTAACAGAAATCTCTCTCTCTCTCTCTCTCTCTCTCTAGGAAAAACTTACCTGCGATTGACTTTAATTAATTGTTGACACGTAACGAAGCGATTGACCCGCTTAAACGCGGACTACTCTCGCAGAGGTAACGACGAAAAAAGAGGAGGACGACGTCGACGACGACGAGTACTGAGATTCGCGTTGCTACGTCTAGAAGGTATGCGCGTGCGCCAATATTTCGTATTTTTTCTTTTGCGTATTCTTTTTGTTGCTAAATTTGCAACGAACTTCTGGAAGTGATGAACGATCCCCTTTGTGGCTAAGGATCGTACGGTGGGAGGGAGACCCTTTGATACTTATACGAACGAGCGTATAACGAACGTGTTGTGTACTTTACGACTTATTTTGCATTTTATCCCTATGAAAAATTCATTAGCTGCTTGAGAGAAGACCTAGAGCGCACACGGCAGCGCAACGCAACAAGATCCATCTATTCAAGATTATATTCTTTTTACAATTTCCTCTATTGGATAATATTTGGAATATTGTTTTTTTTTTCCAAACAACCTAAATTCCTCTTGCCCCAATATATCAAAAAAAACTTTTCTCTCGCGTTATTAATAACATCCCTAATGTATGGTATTATAGAGACGTGTTAAATTAATATACAATTCGTATCTACATTTGAGTGTAGGAGAGAGAGAGAGAGAGAAACGCACAAGTGCTTATATTCGTTAATCCTTGCATGCATTAGCACCACTCGTGCGGTCTCTCTTCTCTTCTCTGCTCTTCTCTTCTCTTCTTTTAAAACGTCGCTTGCTGTTTCACCGCGTAAATGATTTATCTTGTTTACTTAGTCGTTCCTCGGATCTACATACATTCCAAGGAATAACTTTAAATCATACTTCGCGCTGAGTGGATAAAATAAAAGCTGTCAGAGATATATTTTATATAATATTATATATACTAAAGTGGTGTCACATTAGGAGGGATAGGTAGGATATAGAAAATCCACATTAATATATAGACACTTTTTTCTTGGAGTCAATAAGAAAGAGAGGTGCAACTTTGCGCTCCTCTTTGCATCTGTTTGATTCTGTAACACACCTCCGGGAGGTCGGTACGTGCGGTTATGGTAACCGGCTCTACGAGTCGCGGCAAGGTCCTTAAAGGTCGATAATGGCCGGTGGGGTCCCAAAAGGGTCCAAAAGATCAAAAGGACCGATGATGTGTCCCCGTTTTGGACAGTGGCGCGCGCGGTCGATGGCCTCTCTCTCTCTCTCTCTCTCTCTCTCTTCCATATCCGCTCGAAATTATTACCATAAAATATGGTCCAGGTTGCTCTCGAAATTCTTGATGAAAACATTATCCAAGCTTTATAACTTTTTCCCTCTTCTTCGCTGTTGTACACATTATCGATTGTGTTTTCACCTTCAAGTATTGTGTGCGAGATAAGATCACCTGATCGCGTAGCGTAAAAATGGCCGATTAATATCGCATTAATATCGTATTAATATCGTCACATTTGCAAGGGAAAGCGATAAGAAATAGTTTGAAAATATAGCTATATACTAAGTATAATAGAATAATAATAATAATAATAATAATAATAATATAGCGCTGGAAGAACTAGCTTTTCTGGTATCTGAGAAGTAGTTGAAGTCTATTGTCCTTGTTTTCCCAATGTAGTCTTCGGCAACATGTTACTGGACTCTTCTCGTTCGGTTCTTCATCTTCATCATCATCATCATCTCGAGGAGCCCCATGCCCGTCGAAACTCGAACGTGGAAACATTATAAATGCGCCGTGACGCCCGTTTCGAGCCGTAGGAGAAGTTTGTTGGGCGTGACGAGGCCGCCACGGTTACTAAGAGTGAGAGAGAGACGACTCGATATGTTGTTTCCTTTCTAGGAAGGTCCGAAGATCGAGATGCGTCGAACAAGAAGAAGAAGAAGTCGAAGAAGAAGAAGAAGTCGAAGAAGAAGAGAAGAGAAGAGAAGAAGAAGAGGACGTTTTTGCCAAGCAGTGCTTTCTTGCGTCATACGTGCCGCAACCAGTGACGAAGGAAAATGCACCAGAGAACAGAACAAATGTCTTAAATGTACGAGAACCAACCAAGTCGACCATGTGGACGATTAATTGTGATGGATTTATTCATTCTAATTTATTTATTAGGCCTATCATCAATTTTATTCGACTACAATTCATACCTGCTGCTAAATTAATGAAGGAAACGTTCTTGACCAATTTCAAAAATTAATTTCTTTTTTTTTTTTAAACAAATGTTTCTCCAATTGAAATCAATTTTCTACTAAAGTTTTTCAGGACAACAGTAGATAAATGCGTGATTTTACAAATACTACGAACATATGCAGGAGTGTGTGTGTGTGTGTGTGTGTGAAATTGCATTATATCGACCCTCGTTCGTACCATTCGATGGCATCAAACAAAGAGAGAGAGAGATGGTGAGAGATGGCGAGAGAAGGCACCGGTTGCTCTCACATCGGTATCCTAGGAAAATTAAGCGTTCAAACACTCAAAGAGCTTCCCTCGGCGCGTCAAGTTGATCGTTCGAGCACGTTCGAGGATCCTCCATAACATCGGGGATATAATCTTGAACAAATTCGAAGCTTTGCTCTATCTTGCTCTCGCGCATTCATTTCTCGATTCGATTGGCAACCAACTAACTCCAAACTTTCAACCCTTACTCCTTTATTTATTTTCCTCTCCGTACATTTTTCATGTCGTTAATCGCTCGGTGCGTGGAATATCATTGCGAACAAAAGATTCGTAAAAAAGCTACAAACTAGTATCGAGACCTTGACCTTTGTACGTGCCGACGATGACGACGAGATGATAATAATAATTGGATTTCAAAGAGGTGTAGGTACTAGGGCATTTAAAGCACCAGTTACTTGGAAATTCGTACAAACTATGTGAAATGATTTCTTTGAATAATGGTCGAGTGACCATCTAGAAACTTTAGGTCCACCCTAGAGATGGAAAGTGAGAAGGAAAGGATTAACGGAAAGGTTCTAAGCTAGCCGACGGGACATAAATATTTCCATCTGTCGTTTGGTTCTACCTTGGACGTCTAACTGTTCGGCTCTTTCGAAATAATATTTAATTTCAAGTGTACGATCTTGCGTTAAAAGCAACATTTTAAACAGAATTGTCGATTATTGCAATGGTCAAAAGACAATTTTGTCAATTGACAACAAGATCAATTGCGGAATTTGCTTATTTCAAATAAACTGTTTGTGTAAAAATATAATATCGATAACTGTGTGTTTCTTACCGATTCGAAAACGTTCTCGGTAAGTTTTGGGACCGTGGCAAATCGTCGAATAGTCCCACCCCCTTTTTTTTCCTTCTTTCTTTCTTCAAACCTCGGACCCGCCTGTCCTATATTTCTTCACTACATCCGAGAATTCTTGACGTTTCTTCTCTTTAAGGGTAACTTCTATCTCTCTCTCTCTCTCTCTCTCTCTCAAACCACGTAAGCCTTTCTATTAATGATTTTTTTTACGGGCCCGGCCTCCCGTTTCTTTCGTTGCTGGCGATGCCTCGAGGCATTTCAAGGTAGAAAATCAACAAATAAAATAACTCCTAACCAAGAATTTCGTCTACGCGAGTTTAACACTGCTTGCCTCTAATTGCTCTGTTATTAATTCAATAATTCCTGTTATTAACTTGAACGTGCAAAGAGAGAGAGAGAGAGAGCTCTCTTATTTGTTTAACAAAATAAAAGAAACAATTATCGCTCAAGGGGTTGAATGTAAAGGGGTGAGAAAATAAAAAGAAAGGAAAGAAACAAGAAGATTTAACGACTATCATTCGGTGGGTAATCTTCTGGTTGCTTCTGGTTTTTTCCAACTCCTGTTTCGATTGTTTCTCATTTTTTTTAGCCGTTAATGATATTGGACAGCTTGATGAATAGTTTAGAAAAAAATGCTTGCGTTGCGTTATTTTGATTATATGGTAGGAGCTTTGGCTATTTCATTGATTGCGAGAGAAGTGTGTAGTAGAAGTGTGTTGTAGAAGTGGTGCCTCGAGAAACTTTGCCATGGAAGTGTGTCGATATTATATTCATTAGGTTTTAGATTAACGGTGATCTTCTGTTGCCTTCGAGCTATCACGCGATATTCCTTCCTTCGATTTTCTTCGCTTTTGATCTTTTTCTTCTTTTTCTTCTTTTTCTTCTTTTTCTTCTTTTTCTTTTACGGGAGTTCTGGGGGATAATTATTACTCTTGTCAAACGATACGTCCAAGAGCAAACACCGAACGTTTTTTTATTGCAACCATCGATATAATTATTACCGGCTATTCGGATCGATAGGATGCGTGCGATTATTTTATTGAGACGTTTGCGGCTTATATTTGATAGATGAATAGACAGACAGACAGACAGACACCTGGAGTAATCACAATGAAAGCTTTCATCATTTTTCCATTACTTTTTTTTATCCTTTCGAAGATACCTCCAAAACAGGTGTACATTTGAAGGATGAATATCTTTTTGTTTCTTTTTTTTTTTTTTTCAAATTACTTTTTACCATTCGTCTGATTGAGACCAGGTGTACCAATCATGAATACCAAATACGTATGAGTACGAATTAACAATCTTTCCAGGGATGACATATAACTTTTCAATTTTCCATCGTTGCAAAGATCGAGCAAATTTATCCGATCGAGACAGGTGTGATCGGTTATGACCAATGAATCATTTGAAGGATGAATAATTGTGTCTATTTCTATGTTCATTTCACGTGTGATAAAATACATTTTGTTATTATTTTTCTCGTAGACGATACGGAACGAAATGCGGCGGATGTCTTCAAGGTATCGGACCACAGGATCTAGTGAGGAAGGCAAGGGACAAGGTTTTCCACCTGAATTGCTTCACCTGCGTGGTCTGTCGAAAGAAGATGAGCACTGGAGAGGAACTTTACATTCTGGACGACAACAAATTCGTTTGCAAGCAAGACTACATGTCTGGCAAATCGATCCCAGACACTCATCACGTGCATGGTCATCACGGTTAGTTTTTTCATTCTTTCTTAGTATCACTTCTAATGAACATGCTATCAAACAATGGCGGACACTTAACCGATCTTTCAATTGTAAGTATTCCAAATGATTAGTAAAAGTTTGAGAAATCGAAGTCTCCGTGAAAATCTTTCCCTCGACCCACGGCGCCTATGTTGTACCCCTTTGTATTTCTCTTAAGAAGTAGAGAGAGAGAGAAAGAGAGAAAAAAGGACAAGTTTGCGGTTTCGGTGTCGGCATCGAAGCGACAAAAGGCTGCCCCTGCTTAACGACCTTTCGGTTTTCGTTTCACGGCTTATATGTACGAGAACGAGCAGCTCCTCGTGAAACCGAGACGGCCCTAACCCCCTCGCCCCCACCGTTAACTCTCTCTCTCTCTCTCTCTCTCTCCCTTTTACACGTACCGCATCGGGTCTCATACACGCATCGTGTTTTCACAGCTTGCCGCTGACACAGGGCTGAAACCCTGGCTTTCAACTACCCTTCCCCTCTCCCTTTCTTCTCATCTACATGTTCGAAAAGAGAGAGAGAGAGAGAGCGATCCTGACTCCGTAAAATCCCTAGTGTTGGGCGCGTTGAACTGTGACCCCTTTCTCCAAACCCCCTTGACCCCCTTTAAAAAAATAACTCTCTATCTGTCGACTTTTGCGCTTGGATTTTTCCGGACTTTTTTTCCGTTCCGTTCTGTTCTCTTCTGTTTTGTTCGAGAGAGAGAGAGAGAGAGAGAGAGACTTTTTTCACGTTAAGTCAAGTTTGGCGTGTTGCTTTTGGCAGATTTGTCAATTACATTTTCTTTGGCTCTGATTTCTCTTTATCGGTATCAAGTAACAATGGTTAAATTAATGAATAATATTAAATGTATGCTCGATTAAATGTCAGCCATGTTTGTAGATGAAAGAAAAAGAAAGGATAGATTGAATAGGATTGATAACAATAATGCGATTCGAATCGTTCACGACAGAATCGTCCAACCTGTCGGCAGGAGGAGACTCTCTGATGGGTTCCGGATCGGAAGACGAGGACGAGGACGGTAGTGCGCACCATCATCATCATGGGGGTGTCGGTGGTGGTCATCTTGGTTCGCACAATATGGGTCCTGGTGGACCAGGTGACCAAAATGTTGGACATACCGGGGATCTACAGCTTGGGGCTGATCCTTGCAAGCAAGAGGACTCTGAGGATCAAGGTGAGTTTTAGCAAAAAAATGAACTATAACACTTCTTGGCTTATTTCCGATACCTGCAACTCATTCTCTAATTTCTATTCCCGATCGAATAACATCTCAATCGAAAAGGGAGAACAAAAATAGCGTAGAAAATATTCTATAGCATTGTCACCCCAATTCCGAAGGACGTTCAAGGGTGGTCGATGCTTACATCTTTCACGAGCTTACAAAAGCTCACGCGCAGGTCTTCCAACCATTATTCGCTCGCGTTGCTTTCATCGTCAACGTGACAATGAGAAAACGAGCAACATGCACGCACGCACGCACGCACGCACGCACGCACGCACGCACGCACGCACGCAGACATAAAACTCTACAAGTATGAAAGAAAAAGAAGAAGTAGAGGGTGCTTTTAAGGGGTAACCCATACTCGATCGTAGCGACACTGTCCAAACATTTTCTTTGTCCCGTGGTTAAGACCTTTACCATGGTATATAAACGAGTGTGTTAGAGTGAGAGAGAGATTCTTCTGTATATACTAACATAGTAACAGCTTATAGAGTGGGTATGGCTTTCAGTTTCATAGCATTCACCATAATCCAATGGAGTTTTCGAAAGGGATTGTCCTTAGAAGCCCCATACCCATGTATACATTTTTGACGATACTCTTTCCTTTCAAAATAAAAGGTGATCCAATGGTGATCTCATAGTAGTGCTTCCGTTTAAAAGGTTCCCTAGATGGTGACCCAGAAACAAGAGACAGTCAAACGGAAAACAAGAGTCCCGATGGTGGTGCTGGTGGTGGAAGCGGGGATGGTGGTGCGGGATCCAAAAGACGAGGTCCCAGAACTACCATCAAAGCTAAACAATTGGAAATATTGAAGAACGCTTTCTCTTCTACACCTAAACCTACCAGGCATATCAGAGAACAATTGGCTAAGGAAACTGGATTACCTATGAGAGTCATACAGGTTCTTATTACTTTTTGTTGTTGTTGTCGGGTTGTTCCAGTRTTCTGAAATATCTTTCTCTATAGAAAGAGATTATTTTTCGATATGTTCAGGTCTGGTTTCAAAACAAAAGGAGCAAAGAAAGAAGGTTGAAGCAATTAACGTCGATAGGTAGAAGTCCATATTATGCTGGCTCGAGAAAGATCCGAGGTTTCCCAATGAATTTAAATCCAGCTCTCGGAGGAGAAGACGGTCCACCGCCTAGTTTTGCGTATTTCGGTGATAAGTTTGAATTTGGTTATGGTAGTCCTGTTACGTTTCATCCAGAATTTTTTGGTGCTCATCCTCCACCTCATCCACATGGACCACCTTTCGCTGGACCAGGTAATCCTGGTAAGTCGAACAAACTATTTTTCAATGATTTCTCAATGACTAAATTCAAAGTTCAATCGTTCAATTGTTCACATTTCTTTTTGCCAACGGCGAAAACTACGATAATTTTATTCATTAGGATTAGTATGATAATAAAAAGAAAAAGAAAAATAAAAAGAAAAAGAAAAAGAAAAAGTTGAAAGAAGCAGCCGGTTTCGGAGATGGCCGGGCGGATACGATCTTCTCTGAGCAGTACGTAATCTGTTCTTGACAGGTCTAGACCCAGCCAGTTTAGCGGGTATGGCAGCAGCAGTGGCGGTGACAGGGGAGTACCCACCTCCGGGTGCTGGAGGTGGTCCTCCGGAATTTCTCACAGGGCCCCCTGGGCAGGGGCCTCCTGCACCCACTGGTGGCAGTCCCGGAGAGTTCCTAGCACCTTCAGGTCAGATTTTCATTCTTAACATCTACGCGATCTAATCCTTTCTTCTATTGAATTCCTTTTTTTGATTTGCCTTGGAAACTTGCTCTTTCCTTCTTTATATTAATTCGTAATGACGATGTTCGCAGGTGGAGCGCAGGGTAATCCTAGTGGAGGAGGAAACGGTGGAGGACCAGGCGGTGGTGGTGGTGGGGGTGGGTTCCTCGAGCCTCACCAGATGCAGAGCGAAGGTCTAGCCTGGTAGTACGAGTTTTAATTACAACAAACACTTCCGCACACACACATACACACACACACATACATGAAACAAAAAACGCGTCATTCTCGTTTCCCTCCAAACTAAGAAATAATTAACAAATAATTAGCGATTGAGAACAGGTAAGAAAAAATTCAACATTTTTTTCAAAGTTTCATAAACGATTGGTTGAAACGTCATATTTCAAGGCGCGAATTGGTGCATTCAAAAATCTTACAACAAACTTAAGGATAAACTCGACGACTTTCCGCGTGTACTACTCGTTTTCTGTATAAAAAGAATATTATTCATAACGAAGATCATTATATTATTATTATTATTATTATTATTATTATTATTATTATTATTATTATTATAAACAAAAGCGACGACTTATTTAAACGAAAAATGTTTCTTCTTTCGCTTCCAACTTTTTTTATTAATGAATTATCTAGTATTATTATTATAGCAGTCGACGCAATGACGTCGATGTTACTATTTTATTATTATTCTATTATATTATTATTAATTTTTATTAAAATTTTTAATATTAATTTTATATGAATTATTTCCCATTAATTATTAATACTATTATATTATTATTATTATTATTATTATTGTGTATAAAAAATTGAAGATCCTCTATCGTGTAATATTGTAACATCTTTGTTGATTAATTTCGAAGGTTACTTTACGAGACACCTTGTAGATATCCGCTGTTGTATACACTCGAGACGTATACGTTTCGCGGGACACACGTTCGCTATCTTACAAAAGTACACGTACATGAATACTACACACGAATGCATACATCTAAAAAAAAAAAAGAAATACACACACACACGTTGTACTAATTAATTATTACAATTATAAATATAAATAGGAACGTGTAATCTGTAATTGTTAAGGCGGCGTTCGATGTAAATAACATTGTCTTTCGCATGCGAGCGGATTATAAAAAAAAAAAGAAATAAATTCGAATGTGAAGGATAGAAATAAAAAAAAAAAAATAAAAAAAAGAGAAAGTCAAGATATGAAAATAATAATAATAATAAAATTAGTTGCGAGAGAGAGAGAGAGGGAGAGAGAGAGAGAGACGATGATGGTTTCTTTATTAAGAAATATTAGAGAGTATATGTATTGTAAAGGCAACGTTTTGAAGAGAGGAGAGAGAGAGAGAGAGATGCGACGTATATATAAAAAGAAAAAAAAATAAACAAAAAAAAAAAATATGGAAAAAAAGCAAACACGAAGAACAGACCGCCGCGCGCAATGCGTAATGATTATAAATATTATTATAATAAACCACCTCGTATTTCCGTATATGCGCTTTGTGCAATCTAATTATCCTTCGTTCAAATGTCTCCTACGACACATTATTTCATTTAGATTATTTTGTGTGCAGACCAAAGAGAGGATTTTTTTTTCATTCGAAACAGGTAAGAAATCTGTCACAGTTAACTTTTTGCCGTATACAATGCACAATGCATGTAATTAATTCTTAACTTTGAAATCGTTCATCAAAGATAAATTTCAAAGTTATTTTATATATATATAATTAAAATGTGTTTTTGGTTTTTTTTTTCTATATATTTTTGAGTTGATCAACATTTAAGAAAATCCCTCGACCCAAATGTTTCATTGCGTGGGCCAAATAAAAAAAAAAAAAAAAATCTGGAAACGTTTAAAGCTTAAGGGGTAGAAAACACCTGAGACCGTCGTCTTTCTCAATCGAATTTCTTTCTCCCCCTAAATCGTTGTCATGGTTGACGCAGATGCGTTGTTCGGAGAAATAAAGCCAACAGTGTTAGTGCGTCGGTGTTGTAACATCGTTAGAGTTAGTAGCCGCAGCGTCGACTTTGACAACAAGCAAAAGGGCTGGTGGTGGTGGTGGTGGATGGTGAATTCGTTTTCCTGGACATCTGGTCAATTCGATTTTGATGTGTTTCTGCCCAGAGGGTTTTCTTCGAGCGTTAGGATCATCGAGGTTCGCAGAACTATCTTCGAAACAAGAGTCCCATTGGGGATAAAAACGATGCCATGGTGTAGTTTCATCCCCTACGCGTTAGGGATCTACTACATGGTGTGTATACATGCAAACCCTTGCATGTAACTTAGTACGGTAAGACAATGTCTCATGGTAATTAAGTTGTCATCTTGTGTGTTGTTTTTATTTCTTAAGCGATAGACGAAAAACAAAAAAGGAAATACGAACAACGAATAGGTTGTTGCAACACGAAGACGCCGCGCCGAGAGAAATGTTCAGTGTTCCATGTAATGCGTGTCCTGTCGGGAGATTCGACAGATGCGTAGCCGCCTTGGAACCCTCGGGAACTACTACCCTGCGGGATCCCGTGGGAGTTTGCTCCTAGGAACAAACCGTCCCAGGGGGTACTTCTAACGCTATTCCATCCCTACGTCGTATCGTTCTCGTTTCTTCCCCCTAGCCCTCCTACCTAGCCCTCCTACCTAGCCCTCCTACCTAGGAGGTGGAAAAGTTAGCGAATTCTAGGCCGATGCAAGGTTGTTCTGTTTCTCAATATAGATCCAAAACATTTCCATTTGCTTATACAAATTTGCGTTGGAGAGCAAAAGAGTTCTCTGGGGAGGAGGTGAGAAGGGGAGAAGGAAGCGACACGCGTTACGGTCGAACGCGTTTCAGAGACTCACGTGTCCACGCACGTGTCGCAAAACGAGCTCCCGTCGTGTAAAACCCCTCGTGTTTCGTCCTATCATTATGCAAGGAGGCCATACAAATCACGCCTTGCTTACCGCGCACGTTCAGGACCTTCTTCTCCCTTTGCGAATGAATCTGATGCTGAGCAAAGCTTCCAATTAACTCTCCTCTTACTTGCTCCTTGCAATTTTACTTTTTTTTTTCCTTTTTTTCCCCCTTTTTTCCCCTTTTTTTCCTTTTTCCTCGATCCACGGAGAATCGTTGAAGCTCGAGTCGATCTTTTCTAAGAAACGAGTGTCAAGAGACACACAATGGAACGACTCGTGTCTTTTTTTTCCCTTTTGCATCTCTCGACGACAGAAGAACTATTTCGAACGACCTCCTGATGTTATGCCTGGCTTAGGCTAATCCAAAATCCGGATTACCCGTATCGTTCAGCTGGTCCTGTCTTACAAACACATGCTTATTTGGATACATCGCACTCTGACTGCTGCTCTGATGCTTCTTCGCTTTCGTCGATGCAGAATTAATCTCCAATAGAATGTATATATGTTTGTATACGCGTACAGTCCACGAGGAGTTCGTTTTTTAACCGTTAATATCTCGCCAATCCATCCAAAATTCAACAAAAGTGCATATATTTCATTGATTAATTAACCTAGTGACATAACTTTATCTATGCAGAAAATGTGCGGGCATGAAACGGAAGTTCTTACGACGTTCTTATTATTAAGCACGACTACAATGTATGTAAATGCATGACGTAGCAGACACACACACACACACACACACACACAGACACACGTATATATAAGTTGTAAAGTATGCGAATTGTGCAAAGGCATCGTTGTCGTGGAAAAATTTCAAATTTCAATTCCAACGGTAATGGAAGTCACGCGGTCTCGTGGGATAGCGAAAAACGAGCACCAACTGCAACTCTGTTACTCGTTCTTGCTATTGTTGTCGTTATTATTGTTATTATCGTTATCGTTTGGTCGTTCGTCGATTTCGTGAAACACGGTGTGGTCTCATGTGGGAGGCAACGATACTTTCCAAATTGTATTTACATTATATACTCGTTATATACCACGTTAATGTATAATGAATCTCATTAAGATTGATACATTTTGCTACATTTTGCTGCATTTTGCTACATTTTTAATCCGTTATTAATTGCGTTATAATTATCGTTTCTTCTGAATTTCGTAGAAACACCCTGTACATATATATATGTATATATAGGCGGGAAAGAATAAGGAAGCGCCTTTTGTCAAAAGAGAGTACCTTCTACGCACGTACGAGTGATTTATACGACGCGTCGTATTTCCTCGAGAAAATTACTCTCCTACTGTGAAGCCCAAAGCTACGATAGGCCGTAAAATCTAACGATAATTTTATTATTATATACGTTAGAACCTGAACACAGAGAAAAGTGTTACATACCATTCATAAACGCGCGCATAAATATATACTAGGTATATAATACGATATTTCTCGCAATTAATCCGATAGATAAAAAAAAGAAAAGAAAAAGAAAAGTATACAACTCGATTGACCACAATCATCTCGGGTCCTTAAATCGGCACGATTTAACTATAAAACCGAATCTAGCACCCCCTTTTAAGCTGGTACGCTTATCGTTTAGAAACTACCCTTAGTCCCATTCGGGAGATAAGTATTTGCTATTTAAAATACCAGCTAGAGAGAGAGAAAGAGTAGCGACACGGGACCCTAAGATAAACTGTTCGTTGCATCGTCGAGGTTACCGACAACGAACGAATTCGAACGAGGGGGTTGATTATAAACCGAAGGTATGAGGGTGAGGGAGGTAACGTGCAGCAACAGCAGCCACGGTGGTCCACCGTGAGGGTGGTTTATGGGGGGCTGTACCGAGCATTGTTGTATAAATAGGTTTGGCGAGTTAGGGGTTGCTACCCCCGAGGGAACTGCACATGTCCGCATCGATTATACCACCCCCGAGTCTCTCTTTCTCTCTCTCTCTCTCTCTCTCTCTCTCTCTTTACAGGCCTCTTCTCGATTCTCTGCCACAAGCAGAGGGGTGGCATCTCCCCTACACCCTGTCCTACACCCTGTCCTACACCCTGTCCTACACTTCAATCCCTTCCTCTTGGTCCTTCGAACCGCGTGTTCCCGAACAAGGCTCTTTCTCTCCCGTTAGTGCCCACGGGGTACACCACTCGTTCGGTTATTTTCAAGCCATTTGCTTTGTAAACGCACGCAATCTCCTACTACCAGAGACCTTTAGCCCTTCTTCCAGATACTTCAACTATGTCGTTTTAGAAAAGCTACCTTTCACAGCTAGTACAAAGAAAATTCCACAGAGGAGCGTCTTAAGAAAATGAAAAGAAGGGTCGGTCAAGCAATAGTATCGAGTTTTAATGCCGTAGGGGGTGGGCGGGTCTTCTTGGGAGACCTACGGCACACCTCAATCGCTACAAGTGTCGGCCATGACGAAAGCCCACTTGACTCTTTGCCTTCTACCTTTCTCTCTCTCTTTCTATATCATCCGGTAGAATTTCACACTATACGAGACGCAATCGGCACCCTTCCAACCAGAACCAAGTGAGGGAGAGAGAAAGAGAGAGACGGAGGATGAGTCTCCATCACCTGGCGCATGACAGAGTACACTCGACGGAGATCAACCCCTATGTA